AGAGAAGCGGCCATCGTGGCCCGGGCCGCCTGAGGGAACCCGTTTGCCGGCGCCGTCCCCCCAGCGACCCCGTCCCCTCAGCAGCCCCGTTCCCTCAGCCGGCCTCTTCCCTCAGCAGCCCGTCCCCTCAGCCGGCCTCTTCCCTCAGCAGCCCGTCCCCTCAGCAGCCCGTCTCCTCAGCCGGCCTCTTCCCTCAGCCACCCTGTCCCCTCAGCAGCCCGTCGCGGACACGGGCACGGCGGGGAACGCGGCTCCTGCCCTCTCGGGGTGACGCTGGGCGGGAGGGCTGCGCTCCGCGTTCCACCCCCGCCACCGAGCAGCCGGCCCCTCGGGGTTGGTCCCGTCACGTATACAGACGCAGTTTTTCTCCCGATACCTGGCACTCCGGAGATTTTAATCGCGCGGTTGAGAACGTCACCGTTTAGGAGGAATAAAGCTCTTGCGCTACAGGGCGTCAGCGCCGGCCGGCGGCTGAAACTAGACCGGGAGTAAAACCGACAGGCTTGGCAGAGGCTTCCCGCTCCACAACCATCTACAGGAAAAGATGCCGTCTAGAAACACAGGGCAATACCTTAAACGCGTAACTTTTTTCATGCTTTCTCGGGCATAGTCCAGTTTCTGCTATTTTCTGTATCACTTGTAGTAAGTTCCAAACACGTTTCCTGGAAGTACACTTGATTGCCTAGGATGTTGCTTCAATGATTAATTAGAGGGTATTTAGAAAACAGAATGAAGCAGCTTCAAGTAAGCCTGGGGAAAAAAAAAAGACCCCATCCAAATAGACCCTAACCTTTCTAAATGGCATGGTATGCCGCTGGTATTTAACAGAAATAGGAAAGCTTGTAGTCTGTGAATGGGAGAAGATGGGAACAGAAAAGGGACTATTAAACTTGGTTTTGAGTAAAGCCAAATGACTGAGAAAGCTGATGTTTATGAAAAAAAGAACCTTCCAAATGAACTGGCATGTTTCCCAACACCCAGAAGCTACCAGACATAAGCTACTGTGAAATGTAATATTTAGTAATAGCACATACTCTAGGTTTCTAAATAAAGCTTTGCAAGCTGAATGGTGAGAAGAAAGTAAAAATATACGTGTAGCTGTCTATATTTTGCAAAGTTTCTATTAGCTTTTATTTTGCAACAGTCCATGGTTCTATAATCATTCACCTGCTGGGGGCATCAGTGTAATTTTGAGAAGGTGTTTTTCAGCTTTCATGTGCTACCCTCACAACAGAGTAGTTAGCTCAGCTTTTTTGTACATATGTAGAGGTGTGCTAGTGCACACCATCATCACTTTGTAACAGAATTAGCAGGAGCAAGTTTGACTGCAACATTTTGAATAGATAAATTGAAAGTATCTTAATTTTTAACAAAAATGGGCATTTGAAATTCTGTGACTTAAAATAGCTATAGACTAACCTTGTAAGTAGTTTTTTGAGCGCTTCAAAAGGGGGAGAAATTACTTTAAAGATACTTTGCTATTTAAATAAAAACTCTATCTAGTAAACTAGATCCCATTAGATGACATGTTTTTCCTGCTAAGATTTTTTTTTTTTCTGGCTAGCAGACTACTTTGAGAAGTCCAGTCACTAACAGACTATCGATTCTTTTTCAGCCTATATGGAATATCTGGTTTGCATTCTTTAAAATGGTCTAGAAAAGTTAGAATTGTAATTAGAAGTTTACAGGAAAAAGAAGTGTTCGTTATTTCATTTCCCCACATTCAGAGAGCAGCCATTGCCAAACACAGAATTCTTAAAAATATGATAGCCTCTGTGGAAAGAAGCATTGAACATGACAAGGATTTGACTCTTGTTCTCTTTGCAGTATAGCCCAGACAACGTCGCTGGAGCAGATGGAGACATTGACCCCACTGAAATCACTTTTCCAGGGTGTTCTTGTCTTACCAGCTCCTGCGTGGTTCACACATGCTCGTGTCTACGCCTTGGTGAAAATTACAACAGTTTGTGTCTGAGGCCTACAGGTGAAGAGGAGGAGTACACCAGGCCTGTTTTTGAATGCAATGCCATGTGCCAATGTGGTGAATCCTGTCAAAACAGGGTTGTTCAGAGGGGCTTGCAGCTCAGACTTGAGGTATTCAAGACTGAAAAGAAAGGGTGGGGTCTTCGTACTCTGGAATTCATAGCTAAAGGAAGATTTGTTTGTGAATATGCTGGTGAAGTTTTAGGCTTTAATGAGGCACGTAGAAGAATTCAGGCCCAGACATCAAAGGATTCGAACTATATTATAGTGGTGAGGGAGCACCTCCATAATGGTCAGATAATGGAGACATTTGTTGACCCTACATGCATTGGTAATATAGGCAGATTCCTGAATCATTCTTGTGAACCAAATTTATTTATGGTGCCAGTTCGAGTTGACTCAATGGTGCCTAAACTGGCACTTTTCGCAGCCACTGATATTTCTGCAGGAGAGGAACTTTCATATGATTATTCTGGAAGATTCCATAATTTACCAATAACTAACAGAGAACAAAAATATTTAGAGGAAGATAACAGATTGAGAAAACCTTGTTACTGTGGTTCCTGCACATGTGCTTCCTTCTTACCTTGGGACAGCTCCCTCTTTTCTGCACCAGACACTTGCTCAGGGAGCTCTCTGTAGCTTTTCAGTCCCAAAGTATACCTAAAAATATAATTTTCCTTAGCAGTTAAATTGCAGTTGAATAAAACTCTGTATTCCAGCAAGGAAGCATGTGTGGTTTTGAGTAACAGCTGGAAGACAAGATTTTGAGAATAACTTCATGCAGCATCCTAGAGACTGTTTTCAAGGTGGATGGTATGAAGGAGCACTGGAGCTTCAGGATGTTCCAAAGTCAGTTACTAAGCCAGGCCTGGTGTTTTTTTCTTGTTTTCTTCTGACAGCTTGCTGTAAGTTAAACCTCTCTCAATTTGTACCTTTCAGAAAAAATGAACTTTAACATTGGTACACAGAAAGGACGTTACTGAAAATTACACAAGAGAATGAGACAAAGGAATGTTGATATTTGCAAGAAGGGCATTAGGTTTCTTAAATACCATTAAAATAAATGATTTTTTTTAAAATTACTTACTTGCTAAAAATTTTTTTGTTCCACGAAACATAAATAGCTTATTATTATTGATGTAAAAACTTGTCCAGAAAGATTAGCTTGAATGCTTCACCCCTCACCTTTTCCATTTCAGTCACATCTAGCTGCATGCCAAAATCTGGTTTTAAGTGACTAGTTCAGTTTCATGACCATTTAGCTGCTGTGTAAACAGCGCAGTACTGCAAGCTCCAAGAAGTACAATCATCCCATCTTTTTAAATCACATCTATCTCAAGGCTCATCTAATAATATTTCTGCAGTAATAGCAAGCAGCACATCCATGTTACTTTCCAGCACTATTATTATGCTACTTAGGAAGCAAATTCCAACTCTGCAGTCTAAAGCAGTATGATGCTACTATTCTGACTTCTGAAATAGATTAAAGTAGGAAATACAAAAGTACATCTGAGCAACAACAAATTTGGTTTTTTACATCGTTGAATGGCTGACAAATATGTGAGCATTCCTTTCAGCTACTGATTTGTTTTCACTGTTCCTGCAGAGTCAGACAGCATTAAGCAAGGCCTGTCCTCTCCCAGCATAGGGAGGAGATTATTGCCTCTTGTTTTCATCATTCTTGTACAGGTCTAACACATGTACATGGCTTTACTGAGCATCTCCTCACACCAGGGATACAGGAGAGAGCTTGCTGGATGAGATATGTTCTGCAACTGCATGTTACGTCACTCTACTTCCTTTCAAATTAAGGAGGCTTCAAACAGGCTTGTTTTGAATTTCCCCCAACTTTGATGCACAAGACAGATTAACTGCAATGCTACTTTTTACAGTCGTGCCACAGTGCACCATCAGCAGCACAAACTTGTAGGTTATTTGCTCTGTACAGTTTGATCTTTAACTGTATTCATAACCTTTGACATAACACACAGACACACAAGGTTGCACATCTGGGGGGGGGGGGGTTGGCTGGTTCGGGTGCCCATTGGTAACTTTTTTTTTTTCCAAATAAAAGACCACTTTGATTTGGACCTGGAAGATTAACCTGAAACAGACAAGGGATAGTTTGCTGCTATTATTTTGCTATTTGCTAAACAAAATCTTACTTTATGTTTACCTATTCTTCCTTGATAAGGTTCAGTGTTAGCTTTTTCCCATTTAATATATATCTTCATGCTTCCGTTATGAAGAACTGCTGTTGAGATTTACATAGGGCTGTGGTTTTAGTTCAAGAGAAAGATTACTGCATGGTTTTCTTAGGGTTAATGATTAAAGCATCACTTTTGTCAGTACAGAAAGCTTCCAAAGGATTTCAGTTGCTTGTCAAAAGCCACTTAAAAGCTGAGTGGCCATTAACTTTAATCCTTGCCTCATTAAGAGTGCCTGCTTCTCTGGAAGAGTTCTCCAGATCCTGTAACTCAGGATGGACGCTGCACTGTCTACCAGAACACAGCTTGGGTTGCAAGGTCTCTTGTCCTATTTAGAGGCTTATCTGGTTTTCTTCCCTCAAAGGGCGTTGCGCCAGCCACCCAGACACTTACAGCCGGTGGGACTGGAGGGCTGGGAGCGGATGATCCAATCTACTTCCTCTTTCCCTCCTGGAAAAAGTTTCAAGACTAGTTTTAATACCATCTGTATTCCTCATTTTCAAAATGACAGCACAGTTTGTTAGCTTCCTGTTACAAATATGTACTTGGCATGATTTTGAGTAGTTAAGGAAGTGTAGATTAAAACAAAAAAAAACCTGAAACGCAAAAACCCAAACACCATTAGCAATATCTAGTCCTTGCATCACCAGCCTTAAACCAGAGAACACAGCCGAGCCTTCTGTCTCTGTGCAATCCTACCCTTTCTGTCCCAGCCAGCTGATGCTGCTTCTAGCCAGTGAACAGTTATCAATTATCTGGTTAGAACAAACTTCCACAGCACAGAAAAAGAGGAGCGTTGTACTGTTGAAAACAGCCAGCCACATTAAAGGCCTTGCAAGAACATGAAATGATAGGTTGTCATAGAATTCTAGACCATCATGGCAATCGCTAATGGCCTTTTTCCACACAGCATGTGCATTACGCTTTGCTATGCCTCAGCACTACAGCTGTCTGGAGGTGTGGAGCAAAATCCTACTAAAAAGAAAAAAAATCCCCTAACAAGGGACTAAAAAAAGAAAATAGACACTTGTTTCTTCCTGCTGCATTTCTGCTCGCTTTTTCCTTCAGGTTCCTTTCAGCTTCAGAGTCCCGGTCTACCACTTCACAGTTTGGTGTGCTCTTTCACAATGAACCCAATCAAAGAGCTCCAAAGACTGTGAGCTCCCTGTAATCCTCCCTCCTCCTTTACTCTCAAAATGCAGTAATCATTATCAACATTTCAATATTCAATACTCACTCCAGCATGGAGATTTACTTTCCCATTGAAATCTGATCACATTTATTACAACATCTTTCATTAAATATCCTTGAGTTAAACGCAATAACCGTTATCCAAACTAAAGCAGCATGGATGGGACACATTCTATCATCTCTGCAGAAGAACAGGAAAACTTTCCCCCACGTGCTGCCTGCAGCACAATGAGCACTGACTGACATATACCTGATGGTGTGGCATCATCAAGCTGTTTATTTAAATGAAGTCATAAGAATTTTCCAATATAGGGAATTGTGTGCATTTTTTTCAAGGAGCAGAGACGTGCTGTTTAGGAAGATAGAAATAAAGATAGAATCTTTCCCTATTCCTCTCTGTAAAATAGATGGTTTTAATACATAGATTTTAATTAAACACTTAATGGTGGTAAGGCAGTCTTTACTACACAAAATATTTACCACAGCTTTTATCGTGCATATGTGAGTGCCAAGTCATAGTGGTGTATTCTGGAATTATTTTTTTCTACTTGCTAGAATCACCTTTACCCCCCGCTGGAGGCTGGTGTTTGTTGAAGGGCTCCCCAGACATCCCCCAATATCTTCTTTTCAACATCAAACACCAAGTGGAGAAGGAGCTGGCAAGCAATGGATTTGTATTAACCCCAGGTTGTATTAAACCCAAACCCAACTTACTACAGAAAAGATAATGCTGGGAAGGGCTGGCATCAATGCAAAAGTTTTTGTTAATCCACCACGTTTTTCACTGTTTGGTCTCAAAGCAGCCGAGAAGACAGCCAAGTTCAATCCCTGTTTTACAGGCAGGCAGCAAGAGGCCTGTTAGAGGGCAGCCACAAGCTGACGGTGACACATTCGACAGGACAGCCGTTCTGGCACCCAGCTTGCCGCATAGGCAACCGCTTGGTCAGTCTCTGCTTAGAGCAAGCAATTGCCTGGCACAGAAATAGGACCAGATACCGTGTGCTAGTGAGTGACAGTGCAAAACACTTGGTGAAAGGCCTGAAGTACATTCAGATCCCACAATGAGATAGCTCTTGTTATTCCCATTTCCCTTCCTCCTTGCTAAACTGCCTCTCCTTTTAAATGGGATTCTTTTTTTTTTTTTTTTTTTTTAAAACATAACAGTTTCAAAATTTACCTTTTTAGGCCTTAGGGCTCACAGTTACATCTGCCATCTTTTCACTTTAGTAATCTTTTATTCCAGTGGAATCATTTGTTAGCTTCAGTTTTTAATGATACTGGTTTTGCAATTTGCAAGTCCCCAAAATAAGCCTATGCCGTGTCCAAGAACCTCAAAGAAAATTGCCAGTGTTTCTCCATCAATAAAAGACTTCAGCATAAATAAATGCCTGAAATTTTATTCAAATATGTACATCATTTCTAACCATTATCACCCTGAGGATTATCATCCCGCAGCTGCGGAAGGCACTTGCTAAATAGGAGCAAGTATCTAACCAGAAAAAGCACATTTCTGGACCCGATTTTCACTGCAACAGGAATGTAATGCAAGGGCTGCACTAACTGCCCATGCAGATAGCTGTCTGTATTCCAGTCCTCACTGTTAACTCCTACAATTTTCTCTTAAAGCTGTCTAGACGTTTATAAAGTCCTTGTTTATTGGAGTTGAGTGTAGAAATTCAAACTATTACAATAAATATTTAATAAAGATTTTTTCAAAAGAAATTATTAATTAACCTTTTAAAACACAACTGGCATGTTTCTGCTCAGTTTTGTGCTAGTTAACTCCAGACTACTCTTGCTAAAATCAACAGAATTCACCGATAGAACATTTGGTTGGGATAAGAGTCCAGGCCAGGTTCCCCAAAGATAAATACGTGAAGGTTTTTCAAGCGCTGTTGAGTGGTGTTGGATTTTTTTTTCCCTCAGCAGGAAGTTTAAGCACTAGATTTTTCTATTCTGTGTCATCAGCAAGCAACACTCCACACACCTCTTCTTCCTCGGGTGGAATTCGGCCCCTCGTGCCTCAGTGTGACAGCCCACTTGGTCACCGCAGCTCCGGCAAGGTGTCTGCTGCACAGCGGAATCCCAGATTTGAAGCAGAGCTGTCGGGAGTGTTTTGACTACGGGCTGCACAGCGATACCTGTAGCAGTAAGACTGCAGAGTAAGAGGAAAAAAAAGTGAACTTCAGAGTATAGCACAGCTTGTGCTTCCTTAGGCAAGCGTTTGTTAGATTAATATAGCAAAATGTTTCAAATGCTGTTGGACAGATCAATGAACTGATAAAGATCAAAATGACTGTGTTAGAAATAAGGGTTAGAAATCCCACTGTCAACAGAGACCAGTTGCAGCTGATATAAAAGGTAGTTTGAATGGCAAAGTGTCTGATAACATGAGTGCCAACTAATAACATATCCTGCTCTGGGAAATAGCTAAAATTACCATTCTGCTTCTCCCCAAGGGAAGAGGGAGCGGCTCAGTGCCTTGATCTGTGTATTGGTGTACTAAGGGATGACTGGAAATAGGACAGGTACTGGCACCTGTCAAAAAACATTTCACTGAACGAGATGGAACAAGAAGAAGGGAGTAACTAGAGGCAAACTCCTTCCCAGAGTTCCTAGCATCAGCTAGCATGCTAGGGATATTTATTATCAAGATATAATCTGGACTGGTGGCTATAAAAACATTTACATTTAAAACTAAGCCACTGAAAATGATTCAACTGCATTTCAGATATTCCTAGGAGACAACTTTTAACACTGTCCTCTTCCAGAATGGGCTGCAATCACACCGCAGCCACCTCTCAGAAAAGGAAAGGTGGAACAGTCATTGCCATTTCATTTCTTGAAGCAAGAAAGGAGCACAAGATTATTTCACAGGACTTGTCCTCACACCCATCAGATACAGCCATTTGATGCCACTGATGCATGTCGGTGGGAAACATCTCTGCCTGCGCTTTCATTCGCAGTATTGTTTGTCTTGTGCTCGTAGGATTTGTGCGATAGACCAATTTAGATCAAAAATGTTATCTTAAAAGATTCTGAAAAGGACTGCCGCAGGGTGCTTTGTACAGGTTGTTTTAAGAAAGGCTGTTAAACTTACACACAACCAAATGAATATAAACAGGACAAGGTCAGACATCTTTACAGCAAGGTACAGACGCTGGTCTACAACATGTTTTGTACATTCCCTAGCTGTACAGATTTGGCCATGTCTCAGTGCATGTTAATATACTTACACTCCTTGAAAAAAGAAAAACCTGCGCTATTCACGGTGCTACAGATTCTCAATTATCTGGCATTAGGAACGGTGGTTTCCAAACTGCAGAACTAACCAGTTTAAGCAGTTTGCTACATTAAGGTAGTAGACTGACTGCCCAGAAGCAGTTATCCATCATAGCGTGGAAGGAGGACAGTCACACTGGTAATTTCACTGGTAAAGCACTGGGGTAACAGACTGTGTGTTTTATGTAGCAACTCCAGTACAATACATCCAAGTTCTGCCCCATTTTGCTGTTACTTCAAAAAAATCTGGCTCAGGCTTTTTGTTCCTGTCCTCCTGCTACAGGCTCCTGGCCTCTGACAAAAAAAAACCCAAAACCAAACCACTTCCCTTCAGGCTGGTTCAGCTGTGTGTAGTCAGGCTCTGAACCAGACATTGGGAATGGCTGGGTTAAAAAGCAATCTTTTTTTTTTTCTTTTTTTCTTCCCCTCTGCCTTTTTTTTTTTTTGGGGGGGGGGGGGAGGCAGCGGGGAGGCAGTGGGGAGCAGAGGAGAACAGGGAGGAGAGGGTAGTTTTTCTCCTTTAAACCCAAATCCCTTCAGGATTTTGGGCACAGCTACTAAACAGTTCAATTTGTACACCCACAAGGGTGGTGACAACTTAAATGGGCTCTGTCATCAAGGGAACAGCCCTGTGAACCCCACCATCCCCGCAGAGGCAGCGGGTCACCCATGTCTGTCTCCATGAGCTAACAGTATCTCCATCTAAGGAGATTCAAACAAAAGTTCTTCAACAGCAGCGCAGAGCCAGAGAGCAGCCGTTGCCCTCAAAGGAGGACGCACGCTGCTGCTGTCTCACACTACAGAAGAGCAATAGCATGGGTAGATGAGTCTGAATAGGTTTTTAGGCAGCTAATAAAGAGCCCTTGTACTAATAGTATTCAGTCGGGTTTTTTGTCTTGATACACAGCCTAGTTTTATCACCTACAAAAAAGACTAGGACAGACTAGAATCTTCACAAGCCTTTAAAATGGGTCACATTATTCATCACTGAAGAAGAGTCTATTCCAGTGTTAATTTAATCAAAACTGCTAATTAACATCTGACATTGATTTCACCTAAGAAGGAAATCAGTGTAGAAAATAGGATCTCACTGTAGAAAATTTAATCTAATTATGAGAATGATTTGCCAGCTGCAGGCTTTGAAAGGGAGGAAGAACAGGGCAGCTTTAATAAAAAAAGGAGATCTACAATGAGCATTTTTTCCAGCACTGCGTGAACAGAGTTTAAAACATGATTTGTGTCATGAGCGGCTATTGCATTGTGGTATAATCCAGACTTTCAAAAAGAATTTCAAGTCTACTGTCACGTAAGCTGAAACATTTATCTCCCAACAATCTTTCTGCAAACAGCTGATTCATTCCTGCATCGAGAGCCATAAAACTCAAGAAAGTCACATCCGTACTTTCTACTCTTACAAGTATCACTGAAACACTATAATGAAAATAGCATTAGAGGCATACATCCATTTTAACTTCTACCTCAAAAAAAAAAAACAAAAACAAAACAACAAACAACACACTGGGTAAAGCAGTTTGGTTGGTTGGTTGGTTGAATTCCAAGCTAACCAAAAAAAAGTCCTGAAGAACATTAGGTATTGCTCCTCCTTAAATTGCATGAAACCCCTTAGCAAGCGTCCAGGCTGCCAGAAAACTCTGTCAGAAGATCATTTCATTGTCAAATCAGGTACATTCAGAGGAAAGTCAATACAAAAATACCACAGGCCTTTTCACATTACCTTGTGGCACATATAGGATCCACCCTTCTTCACTCTGTCCGTCCCAGATGAGGGCCCTTTCTGTGGAGGAGAGGACACTGGTTGGTATTCGAGGAAAAACAATGGCTAATTAGAGAGTAAAGGTAAAAAGCTGTAAAAATAGGGAGATGGATAAGGAGTAGCCATAAATATTCAAAGTAAACAAATTTCAGCTGTGTCTATCTGAACCAGAAAGCTTGAAATAATTAGGTTGTAAAAGACTTGCAGACAGGTGAGAGTAATTGTTCTCCCTCCCCACTGCTGCAAATATTTAACATTGGAGTTGCTGCCCACTAGCCAAGAGCACACTGTGCTGTGTTTCTCTAAAGCACCTGGTAATACACTGTAAAAAGCACAGTGGAATCATGAGAGAGTACTGATCTTTGAAAACAGATCTGTTTCTGTAGTTTTCAGCTGTTTCCTAGCAGGAGATTAGGAAGTTTTCACACACCAGCCTGCAGATGTAGTGAAATCTGTGATTCTCATCAGTTCCACTGCTATGACACAAACACAGACACCTGTGAGCCTCCAACAGGAACACAGAGAACTTCCACTTCTCTCAATGCAGTTACACTGTTTGGTGGCCAGTTGCGAGGAGGGGCTGTAATGCCCAATGTTTGGTGCTTATTCTCTTTCCAGGCCAAAATCCAGTCTGAAACACAAGTTAGTGACTGTGCTGCAAGGCATTCCGTATCATCTCCCAGTCAGAGTGTACTAAATTCATTATTATGTGGGATCATGACAGCTAAGGAGGTCTGCAGAAAGCACTGCACTTAGGAGCAACAATTTTGTAATTGTGTGTACATTTGCAGTGTAATGTATGTGATTTATTTGAACTGCTTGTGAAATTGGCCCTAGAATTGATTTAACAAGGTTATTTCACTCTTCTTTTTCAATTCCAGTACCAAAGGATGGCCTAATGGTTCAAGGAAAAAGCTAGGCTTCCTTAATAACACACTATTTTACTAGCTTTGATGCATATTTATTACGCAGGTGAACAATTCTCCCACTTCATTCCTTTTAGCTGTGAAAGTTACTACTGCACTCATCTCATGCTTAGACACTACTGCTATAATTCATGTTCCCACTGTTGATACCAAATATTCTTACATGCTTTCTACCCTCCACGTGCATTGAGGAACTATTTTTAAGAAGGGGCCACAAGAATATCTGTCTTACAGAAGGCACAAACAAGATCAAGAAAATAAATTGTGTTTTATTAGTTAACTGGCAAGCCTAGCCTAGAAGTTAGTACTGCCACTAAGAATCCTCTCAAAGTTGTAAGATTTGCACATATTTCTATTTCTGTACATGTTACACTAGCATGCAACAAAAGTGTTTTCTTATCATGTACAAGCCTCCAATAAAGAATTTTTCACTTAACTTGAGGTACAAGCTGTTTCTTCACTGGTTGGTAGGGTGTGTAAATCAAGTCTGTATTTCTAGACATAACATTATCAGAAGAATTTGTGGAATACAGGAAGAAAAAAAGAGCTATGATATTCTCCAGATCCCTGCATTTTCTGCTAAGACCATTACCTATATCAAAAAAATACAGGCTACAAGGAAGTCATCAGCCCAGTTTTTACTGGCTTTTTACCAGTAGGAAAAAGTTTTTTGCCAGTTAGGAAAAAAAGAATTCATTGCTACAGACTATGTAAATGATACCAAATAGTACCATAAAAAAGTACCATTAACAGGTTAAAAACTTACAACTGCTGAAAAAGAAGTTCTGATAATTATTTTGTTTCCTCCTGTCCAGCAGCCAGCCATGTATCCTGGAAGTATCTGAAGGGTGCTGTGCTTTCTGCAAAGCCTTAACAACAACGCCTTGTCCAATATAAAAGCAGTCACCAAAGAAAATTTCACTTCTGTACTATCTCCTGAATCCAGGAGTAATTTCCCTTTAAGAAGTAGGTCCCTAAAGAGAGGATTTCACAGGGAAAGATGCCTCTCCAGCTTTTCTCAGTGACCGCTGATTTGACCAGTTTGGTTACACTTGGTCATCACACCATCCTACCCTGCATCAGGGGGTGTAGTTGTCTCCCACCCAGCTCCTGCATTACCAGAGGTGAAGTTCTAGAAGAATCTGCATGACAAGTATTTGTAACACTGAATATAAATCACAGGGACTGTAAGAAAACCCTGAAAGTTGATGCTGGTACTACAGAAGCTACTGACTGCATCCACTGAGATTGACTGCTTTGCGAGTCTTCGTATCCAAAGCTTACCATACTCAAACTTCAGCAGCTTCACAATTATTGAAAAAGTTTATACGAGATATGCAAAAAAGAAATTGGCCTACTACTGCATTAAATACCCTACAAATACTCAAGGAAAACCACACCCAGAGGCAGTGTCCGCTCCTTTCCAAGCCTGGGTGCTCCTCCACAGGACAGGCTTACTCCATTTCCAAGGTCTCTGGAAGTTGTCTTCACAAAACTTGCATGTGGATGCACAGATCCTCACTCTAAGATAAGCCACTAACAAGCACAATCAACTCAAACAGCCTGTTAATCTCATTTTAAGGGAAGCCAGGGTTAGAGCCAGCGAGAAGAAAAAACTGACCTAAAAAAAGTTACATGAGAACAAGACAAAACAGAGAACAATGGGGCTGTTAAGCAGGATTTCCCATTAAGAACTGTAATGCAAATACTGAGCAGCAATCTTTGCTATTAGCTCCAAAGTAACTTTTATAAATTAAGAAGAACATGCTAATTTCGGATTAGAAGGTTTCTCATCCAACCATAAGACTATTGTATGTTTCAGCAATTATACAGGGATAACTATACTGAAGCAGCAAGTGAACCAGAGTAAATGGTAATTGCATAAGCTCTTTTTATTAATTAAAAATATCTTCTGCTAGGCAAAAATTGAGCAAAGATAATTTGGTAACAGAAAAACAAGTTATATTGAAAACCCCCAGCCTCTGAAGCAGGATTACAGCACTGAAACACTTTACCACCTGCAAAAATCTGATACAGTGTTCTCTGATAATCTATTCTATTACAAAACACTTGAAAATCACTGAAAGATTTTATCATACAACAACTGGTGAAGTTCTTGGAAAAGCAGAAAATTGCTAGACATTAGTTAGAGAAACAATCTCTGCCCGTTTGACAACTGTCTACAAGCTACATTTAATTCTCTTGCTGTTGGTATTTCCCTGTCATGCTTTGCAATTTAGCAAAGGAAAAGATAAAAGAAGTTGGGATAACCAGCTTTCCCTACAGTTGTATCCAGCTACTTACTTGTGCATTTGATTTTGTACATATGCAACTGTGTGCAAGAGACCAACTGGATTGATACCTTTCTCAGCTCATGACTGCACTCAAATTAAGGGAGGTTAAGAGAACCACAAAGCCTCAAAAGTTAGAGCACAGTTAATTCAGTTCTCCTTCCTAGTATTAAAAATGCAGCTTACAAAAACTTTCAGTCTCATTTGAAGACTATCGTGGAGTTAAAATTGGAACCACAACATTGAACATAGCAGGCAGCGATTATGCTTTCATTCCATATGTAGCTCAGCTTCTCTATAAAAGACACCACGTTATCACCAAGGTCCCTAGCAAAGCCACGTGGGCTGATCTGAAAGCAACCAAAACTAAGTGAGAAAGACATTCTTATTCCAGACTGATGAGCATCACTGTTTACACCGCTTTGTCCTTTTGTACAACAGGTTTGCCTGCCCGAGAAGAACATGGTGTTGGAATCAAGTCTTGCCTTTCCTTCCTCTAACGGTTTGATTTTGCATCCTGTGCAAGCCCCCTACTTAGCGCTACAGACCGAGGACTTCAAAGTCCCCCAGATGATCTGTGGGCATCCCCGCAGCCATGGGCTGTATTTGCATTCCTTCACTTCAGGAGCCCTTTACCACAGCTCCCAGTAAGTTCGCAGCTCAGCCGCTGCGGTAAAGCTCAGGGCAAGCAGCTGTCCTTCCCCCGTACTGCATGTCTTATTTCTATACTCCTTTCTCTACCCCAGCCTTGCTGAAGAAACCTCAGACACGTCACAGGCAGGAAGAAACCACTTGGACTCTACTTCCTCACCATCTGAAGGTGAACGATTTTGTCCAGGTAGGTAGAAGGGTGCTGCAGCTCCTTGGTCTACCTGTAGCATGAACCATCTCTGTTATCCAAAACAAGGCCCCGATCCCAGCTCCAAACTGAGATAAAGGAAGAAGCCAAGTCCCTACAGACAGACTGGAATAAGAGATTTCAATTTCTTGAAAGGTGTCAAGAGCTAGATGTCCCTTACCAGTGACACCCTGCTTCTGACACTGCACAGGAGTTCCATACGCACCCTTCCGACCAGAGTCCTTTTCTCTGAGTGGTCTTCCTCCTACCTACATCACTTGCTTAAGCTTTCCCTTGTTTTACAAAGAAAGTTAGCAGTCCTTATATCTGCAGATGTAGAAATGTAAACTCATCCCTGTCTGAGCACTGGCTGCTTAGCGACTACTGAAAAAACCCAACCAAACCCCCAAAAACTTCACTGCTTTGTCTTCTACAGAACTACACAGACTTCAGGTACGGCATCCTGAAAAGCCAAGATCCCCCCAGTTAGCAGCTTTTCTAAAATAACGCATGCATTTAACATACTTGGTAAAGTAAGAGCGTACAAACGTTATCTAAGTCTGGCCAGACAATGTTACAGTTCAGTATCACGTATTTCTTGTAATTAAGAAAAGGAGAAAGCCTGCAATGTTAGTATTTGCTCATGCTTGTATCTTTCTTATAGATAAAGGAAACCTGCTTTGATTGTGCTTGCCCATAATAAAAACTAATCAGAGCACAGCAATTAAGGTAACATCTGATTAAAACAAGCAAATCTTTGTTCCAAACAATACTGTTTTATGCCATTATCTGGAGAAGTGTACCATCTGATACTGAAGTGGAAGGAAGTTTGCTGTCCGTATGTAGAGAGCCAGAGCTGTCCAGACTTTGATCCCAGATTTAAAGAACAGAATTTACTGTATATTAGCAAGTTTATTTTGTAGTATAATGTTGTTACAGACATATTATAGGCTGATTGCATAATTA